AAGAGGTTTTCAGGGATGAAACTGCTTAATGTATGTACAGTACCGATCCTCGTGTACCCCCAGCATCCCAAAACTCACCAGCTAACAGCAGCTGCTTGGAAACCCTTTACAAGTCTTTTTTCTTCCCCAGATGGTGAAGTCTTTTTTCCCTGTGCATTAAATACTCAACAAAACACACTTACCAAATTATCATATCAACCCATAACCATGCATGATAATTATTTCTTAAATTGGGATTTATTCCACCAAATTTCAACCAAAATAAACATGGTATAGAGAACAAATGTATGCTTATAGTGAACAACCATTCATCAGCTTAAGTAACTCTAATGGATGCCACTTTAAACTAAGCCTGCACCATCTGTTCTACCCTTCAATTAGCGAAGCCAGAGAAAATTATTCAATGCACAGTTTAAGAAAGCCAGCTAATTTATGTAAGTTTTATTTCTCTTCAGCTCAGTGAAGCATGCTCTTGTAATGCTTGATATTCAGAAACAGATCAGAATGGAAGGCTGCTTTCTCTAACACTATTAGGAGTTTTGTCAGGGGAAGTAAAATTTCCCTGCAATATTTCACCATATAAAAAAATTTCTCTAACATCTCACCATACGTTTTATTTTAAAGAATGTGATGTCACTGTAAGTAGCAAAGTCAACTAGGAGCTAAACAAATCAAATCTGAAGTCCTGCACACGTGAACACAAACAAAGCTCAGGACACAGCCCTGCACAACTCTCACCCTGACAGACTGGGTCTACCAGCACAGCGTTGCTTGTTCAGCCGGGAAGCCCTCCTAAGTGGAAGTATCCTCAGCCACCAGGGTTTGTTAACCATGTCAGTTCCCAACTCCCCTTTCACAGGCAAAGCCCAGTCCTGCGAGCTACTGGGCACAGAGCCTCACAGAGATTAAGCTGCACTGGAGCAAAGGGATCATCCCATGCAAGGGTGAGATACTCTCCTTGGCAAGCACAGCCTGTGCAGTGAGAGCAGTGCAGCGCCAAAAAAAATCACTACTTGCCAAAGCGCAGGAAAAAAACCAAAAAGTTTTATCCAGTTCCTTACTGCAAACCCCCACGCAATTTCACTTCAAACTGGCCTCTCCTACCACTCTGCAATATGAAAAACATTGAGTAGAACCTCTCTTCAGTCTGATGGACCCTAACCTGCTTGAAGGCTCTGTCACCACCAAATCCCTAAGCTGAGTTCACTCTTGGATGTTGCTACAGCAAAACCAAGGGCACTTCCAAACCTCAACTCCAACAGCACAGACGACACATCACAGGGAGGAGAAAGGTACAAGAGACCTCATCCCCATTGCTAGATGGAGGCAATGGTACAATATTCTCCTGTTGTGGAGAAGCAGGCAACAGCAGGTCATTGCTAAACACCCTCAGTTCACCTCTAGGAATATCAGGCTGATAGAAAACTACTTTAAATCCTGGACATATGGATGTCTACATCCTCAAAATGAAACATCAATGGCACATCATAGTCTGGGTACTGAGAAAGGCACGTCAGCCACAGATGAGTCAGGAGATTTTGCCAAACAGCAGCATTACCAAATACTGCCACAAGCAGCTCAAAGTGAGATTGTTCACTAAGGAATTACTGATTATTTCAGCTCTCTCCCCTTGCTGTAGGACTGTGAAGCTGCAAGGACACGCTGAAGGCCCTGACACTGCTGTGTTGTTTTGTTGCATGTCTCAAGACAGACAGCTCAGTGCTGGCCTTAGTTATTGTTCAGGGATTCAAAGCTCTGCAGAATAACTCTTTTTTGCTTAGCCGGGGAGGAAACGGGAGTCCAGCAGAACCACCATCCTGAAACAGCACAGACGAAGCAAACAAAGCACGTGGAGAAATGGAGCAGAGGCAGGATTCCTCTTTGGTCTGCGGCATCCTGCAATACCTTCTCCAGCCCAACCTCACTAATATGCCCCACAACTCCTAGTGCCCATGCAAACATAGGCTGTCTGCTCTAAGTAACTGAGCTCCAGAGAAGAGTAAGAGCTCTCCAAGAGAGATCATCTTTTCACCCTGCAGCGTTCTTGTCTTCCACCTGCAAGTGCTGCTGAGAAAATGCAGGCCAGGCAATGCCTGTTGGGTACAGTTCAAGCACACTCCTGGCAAGCATAGATACGCAAATTGCCTTGCACTGGACCTCAGTGCCTTGCTTCGTATAACAACCCCCATGCTTCCTTGACTTGAAAAGCATCCTGAACTATCCGGTGCCTTCTGCACCTAAGGCAGCTGCCTGTTATGAAGCAGGGATCAGTGACCAGGTCACAAGGCCATTTGTTAGAAGAGTTTCAGAGTGCTGAGTGCTATCAGAAGTGTGTTAGGTCTCACTGTCTCACACATGATGCTTTTACAGGCTTGGACAGCACCATGGAAAGAGAAGCCTCTCTTCCTCCTCCATCATTGCTTTTTTGCTGCATCACTTGAAAGAGAAGATTGTATTGTCTCCAATCCCAATGCTGAGGTCAAGGACTTCACAAAATAGTGTCAGGTTAAAATAGAAACAATGTACAAAAGCCACCAAAGCCTAAAAATGTCAGTGATGGTCATGACTCACATAGCTCAAATTTGTATGCCCACAGCCCTCCCTGTAAAGGCACAGTAATTTCACCATCAATTGAGGCTCCTCCTAATCTGAACTGAACTGGATTGCCTCAGAGATGTCACTTCTCTTCAGTTCACTGATGTTTCCCCAGTGATAACACATAAGCACAAGTGTTTGGTTAGAAGAGTCCTAGACAAGCAGGAGCCATGAATCAACTGGACGCTCTCCCAAGATAACGGGTCTGTTATTCAAACCCAGTCTAATTCTGAGAGCACACACTTTATCACTGAAGTGTTAGGAAGTTTCATATCATGCAGATGATCCCAATCTTTGTTTTAAGCTGATACTTTCTCAAATGAAAGGAGTGAGGTAAGCAGAGAAACAGACTGCAAATATAATGGCTTTTTCAACCGTGACCAAACAACTGCAGTTTAGCTCTCCAGGTGGCTATTCTAGGGCAGTGATGCTTGGCCTTTCACTCTCAGGGTTGTTACACTAATCCATGAACTGGATCAGATGACACCAGCTACCCTGTTCTCCCTCACACCAGACAGAGCTGAGCTTCTGAATCCCCACCCTACAAGCAGTCAAGAAGAAAGGCGACAATAACGCAGATGCAGGCACTAGAACAAAAGGAAGAGATTGGCATATATGATGATGCACTAAGCCTTGGATGGATACTGAAGCAGACCTCACTACATCACTAACCTCCAGGTAGCCAGCTTGCCCCACTCAAAGGCTTCACATCCTCTATTATACTCATTCACTGAGAAAATACTCTCCAGACATCCGAGACGTGTCTGTTATGCTTACTAAAACTTATTAAACACAGTAAATGCTATCTATAGAACACAGACATTAATGAACAGCCAGCTCAGCAGCATGAGTTCTGGAACAGAGTCACAGCAGTACAGAAGTGCCACCAGTTTGTTACTGGAGAATGAACACCAGAGCGAACATTCTAAGTGTGTAATTCAACAGACAAAAGACCGGGAAGGGGGATGGAAGAGAGAACAAGTTATCCTAAAAGAAATTCTGCAAACTAAAGTGTGATGCTGGAATTGCAAAGTACAGCATAGCTCTGCGATCCACATCACTTCATAAAATCCCTGCAAACAGCACATTTCGTAACAATTCAAAGTTTACTGTGCTTGGGTTACCTTTCCACTGAGAATCATGGAAGTCTGTAAGAGAAAGCCAGTTAGCAAGAAAAGGGGGAATAAGAACACACAATGCGCTCAGTTACATGTACACCACTTGTTCATGACAGCAAAATAAGATTTCTTCATGTGCTCCACCAGAATGGATGCTCTATTGAGACTGTATTGGCTTTGGCAGTTTGTTGGTTGGGTTCTTTTTCTTTTGTTCCTACATGCCAGACAGTTTCTACCACAGCTGCTTGTTGACAAAAATGAAGAGGAAAAAATGCAACTGTGCAGAACACATTGACCAATACACTGCAATCTCACGATGACTTCTCAGTCAAAATGTCTGTTAAAAGCAGTTTAAATTAATCTGAGGATGCTGAGCTCCAGAGCACTTGCAACCTATATGGCTAGTCTCTCCTTCACTTCTACAGGAAAGAACTCCAGTACAATTCTCAGTTAATTATCTTCAGGCTCAGCTCCGTAGAAACTTTAATTCTCAGATTTTTCCAGACTTATCAGAAAGGAACAAAGTCTCCTATTACATCCCATACAACAGCTTAAGTACTCTATTAGACTTGTCAGAGTGCCTCGTGAAGGGACCAGGACAGGAGTTTTCCAAGCCACAGCTGAGAACCCCTCCCCACTCCCACAGTGCATGAGTGGTAGGACTTCCTCACTAAGC